TCGGCTAACCTTAAATGACTTAATCATTCTATGTTCATCCATAGTCCTTTATGCTCTAAGTTGCATGTATTAGCAATAAAAGAACACTTCCTAGCAGTTTGGGCCAAACTCACTATTTATCTGTTTCCAGCCGCGTACCAAGCCGTCTCATTGGGTCAATGAATACGTTGTTGAACCACGGCAACCAACAGAACATCTGTAAAAACAGTTTAATAGCTGCAAGAAAGCCACCCAAGTCTACGACGTACAAACCTTTGTGAAAGGGTGATGACGAACGACATCCACGAGGTTGTTAAACGGCGCTTCGAGGATCAGCCCTGCGGGGCACGTTCCTGAAAGTCAGCGTCAACGTCAAGATGTCACGAAAGCAGTCCTCAACTACCTAAACGGCAGAGTCTTCGAGACAAGCGGGTAGCTATTCTAAACGAGGTCGCATTAAAAATTCGCTATGGCATCAACGGCAACATACGAAGTACCAAGCGAGTGACCCCAGATAAATATGGCGTTGTCGCCCGAACGTGCCTTGATCCAGTGGTAAAGGAACGCCGAATCTGCGACCAGGCCGTCTTCTGAAGGGCTACCGTTCGAATCGCCGAAGCCTTAATGAACATGGCAGCGTCAGTCCCATCTCGATCTATAGAGTGACTCACTTCTTACCTCTATAATCGAATGCTATTACCTGATAGTCCGCCTTCGCCAACAAGTTATACAACTCTACCCTGTGTAAGGCTGTCCTACAAAATTTAAAAGTGACCACTAACTAAACACAATCAGCATGGTCAAACCTTCCCCACGCGTTGCCATGCAAATAAAGAAAAATAGGTTGTTTGGCACTCTCCAAGGCCTTTTCGTATTCCGAATCGTTGGGAGGTAATTTGTGACTCAAATGGGAGGGTAAAATTTGCCTAAAAATACATAAAGAACGTGTGCTCAGTGAACAAAAATGGAAAGAATCAACAGCAAACTGACATTCGTGATATCGCAATTTCAATTCTGTGCGGGTAGCTCACCTGATAAAGCATCGGATTCGCAGTCGTTTGAACGCAGGTTCAAACCGCAGCAAAACTGGCCACTCGACTTTCCTCGTTTTGTGGTAGATAAACAAGTCATATTTCAAGAGAAGATGAATATTACGCCTAGTATTGCTTTCTCATGGGTGTAAATACTATGTTTATAAAGGCGCTCCTGGTGGACAGTACCAAAACGGAAATCAACAACTTGTCATAATGTCGCCAAAAGACGACAAAAACCACTATATCATATATTTCAAAATTACAAACTTTCGCTTCGCAAAATAGTTTGCTTTAAAATCTACAGCATGGAACAAGAAAAAAGATGTAGATCTACCTATCTAACCCATTCACTTTTTTTCATTGCCTAGAATACCTTACTTGCTGCGAAATACAGAAAATTAGCCTCAAGCCTCGCCATCTCTCCGTAATAGCGTTTGATTTGCATAGTAAACCCGGTATCAACTAATCGTACAACCTTCTACCATGGTTGTTGTTACTAGGCTCAGAATATCAATTAGCCTAAACACAGTGTGTACGGAACTTCAATATTTGTAGCATCGTAAGCTAAGAGTCGTACCATGCACCAAGCGTGTAATTTTCATCGGTTTTCACGTAGAAGTTTCGACTCTGAAACCTAACACCGAACATGTGTGGGTCCGAATAGTTCAGGTATGGCCATTTCACTGAAACAACAAGCTACATTTGTCAAACAAACATGAAACCCTACTCACCAAAGGACATAAAAATGAACGCCTGCTGTATGGACGGGAAAATGTAGAAGATCACCGGCACCACTCCATACAAAATGACCAAAAATGAGAAGAAGGTTTTGAACATGTAACTTACGGTTCTGAAACATCGACTGATTAGCCTGTCATGTCTACGTCCAAAGGATCTACCCCATCCGCGAATGTTCATCGGCCGGCTGAAAACAACAAAAACCTGCAGCAAACAAAGACTAAGATCAGAAAACGAACAAAACATAACAATAAAATGAAGTAGACGAAAATGACGACAGACGCGTAACTCACTAAACACTCGTCGCAGAACGCATTTTAATAAGCCGCGCTTAAAGCAAAAATAAACACAAAGTAATGTAAACATAAACAAATTAAAACATGCACAAGAACATAAGCGCAAGTTCAAGATCATCCGAAATAGTATCACAAGAGCAAACGGTTCGTTGCCGGTTACCCGGTTACCAAACGATTGATCAACAGGCGAGTGGCCAGTCTGCAAATTTTCAGCTATCGGCCTCCATCGCTGCCGCACCGTCTGTAGGAGACGAGTATCTACTATTCGGATCTTTTTGGATACAACGATAAAGCGAGAACAGATCCTGATTAGAGTGAATCAGATGCACGAGGTCTGCCAGCTGCGGATGTTTATCCGCATCAGCAACGCTCTACAACAAAAAGCTGTTATTCACTCGAAGGGGAAAAAGGTCAGTGGCAGGACGGGTAGAATTTTTCTGTAGTTACGCAGATACGGAAGCGGAATGATAGGAAATTTCCGCTATTTTTATCATCAAATATGCACTCAAAGAATTTTGAGGAAACGGAAAAGTGGACCATTATGAGGCAGTCATTGTCCTCAAGTGTCGGTCTATCAAACTAGCTAAATTAATAACAAAAAACTACGTACCTGCAAAGCCACAATCGCTCGCAACGCGGATCGCTTCAATTCGTCCATTTTCTCGTACTCTTGCTTGACTGAGTTCGCTTTTACCGTCGTGAGGCACGTTTGCTTGATTGGTTCTACAAGGCGATTCATTCGCTGCAGTATCTGCGTCGGGCACAAGGTCGAAAGTCGAATGACCATAAGGTAGGTCAGAATCTTGATATCGTAGTGGTCCTGAAATTCAGATATAGATAACACTAAAACAATCTTCTGAAGCATACAAATCACATGGCGAAATCTTGGGGAAGCCCTAATGCCGCTGGATGGAAAAAGGTTGATGATAATGGAGAACATGTGCGGTAACATATAACCATCCAGAAATAATTTGAATTTGAAAATGGACTATGCTAATAAGAATGGTGATAAAGGTAACGACAACAGCGACTGAATTATGCGTGTATAAATAATATCATAATT